ATAAAAACCCTACGGAAACTTTTGTTTTTCCTCCAATAAGTATTTCTTTATTTTTAATAATACTCGATAGTTTTGTTGTATACTACAGGCATTGAGGACTGTTTAAAAGTTGTTTATTTTTTTGTGTTAATTATAGATTGAATCGTTTTATGTTTGTCGTGTTGCTGAACACCTTATCTTTATTGATTTAATGGATAGAAAAGACAAAATATTCGAAAAAGTATTGGTGTAGTATGGAAAAAAAAATTTCTATAGAATGATCTCTTTAATTGAAGCTCGTAACTTTACAGTTTCGAAATTATTGAATAGGTTAGGAAAGGAATTACTCAGTAATTAAGAGAATGCTGATTTTATTTCCTGACATGCTATATGTTTTATAAAATTTTTGTGAAATACTTACGAATATAGGAATTAACAGACAAGATTATGATAATAAATACAAAAAGAAGCGAAACTCGAAATCTAGACAGGCGTGCATCGCTGTTCTTTTGATATCGTTTATCTTGACATCATACCATAGGGAAGAAATCGAACCATCTAATGTCTGACTAACAATCAGATGCATAAAACTATTATCGATGCCAGAATTAAAGAGGAATGGATGTAGAATGAATATTTTGAGAACGGCAGTGGCTAGCGATCTGCGGTTTTCATCAGTTGAAAAGGAAGAAGTCGAGACGTCTTTTTCTCTTATAATGTATGAGACGAAATTCTTTTAAAAATTAATTATCTTTCAAAAGAATGTATGAAAATGATTAGACATCTAGATAACATTTTGATTTTGATCTTTGATTTAAATAGAGAAACTTCTGATCTATAGTTCAAGATACAATGCAAACGATTCCCTTTTTTTTACATTTAAACAATAAACGAATGAAATCATGTATTTTGCTGTTCTTTTTTTTTTTATAAAGTTTTCGTACTTTTTATCATAATAGAGTAAAATTTCGATTGATCTTGAATTATGGATTTCAAGTTCCTTTATTCAAACCAAAATTTCATCTAGATGTCAGGTCATTTTCTTAAATTCTTTGGGATGTTTTTGAAAGACGATCAATTTTAAAAGGGTGCGGGTATAAATGAAGGTGGATGTGGGCCTGGGTCTGCGTATAGTAATGTCTATAGATAAACTAAGATCCACAGTCTCTCACCCACCCACACCTTCTAGACTTGGCTTTTTATGCTGAATCTGAAAAAAATAGTTTTGAAAGCTCAGAGAAAGCACGCAGCGAAATATAAAGCATTTTTTGACAAACTCAACATCCTTCAGGTTATTCATATTTTTCGATTGAAAGAAATTATTTGCTAAGATTAAAAAGTACATATACATGATCAACAGCCATCGCTCTATCAAATAGTGTTAAACAAAATCAAAAAAAAATCGCTAGAAATTCGCTTTGTTGGTATCTTAAATATATTATAAGATCCTTCAGATTGATAATTTCTAAGTCATATAAGTCAATAGATTACAACGTTATATTGAGGAAAAAGAGCTTACGTTTGATCGATGTTAATGATAGTAATGCACATAATTTTAAACTTGAATTTTTGAAGTGAGTAGGCATTACTCAATGAATTCATTCATGTAAATTTACCTTATTAGATATACACTTTACGATTTCACATTTTTTTTATAAAGGTTGATGACGTGTTAAGCATATATTGACTTTTGAATAAACATTTTTGAGTGTTACTCTTCATATTTTGATTTATGTATTATCTAGTTCATTTACCAATAGAATTACATCTTTTTCTTTCCTTATAATGATATAAATATAATAATAATTCTCACAGTCGAGAATTATCATCTCTTATGTTAACACAAACATTTTGCTAACTTTTTTGACATACAAAGAAATTGATTTCAATTATACAAACATGTAGAAATCATGTGTGTATTTGTAAGATTGTGTTGGATCAAGAATAGAACTTGTCGAATTCATCATAAATCTTAAATAAGCGGTTATGACAACTGATTCTATCTGAAATTCAGTTATTCTTGTTATTCTGTGAGGCTCTTCCAGTATAGTTTAAAAAATAAATGTTCTACTAAGTATTTAGAAATCTTTTTTTCTAAGTACATAATCACTAAATCATCCTCGTTCTGAAAAAATATTATACTCTTCACATCTTTTTAGTGAAAGACATAATGAAGTACAAATAAATCAAATTAAATTTTAATACAATTCACTCAAAGTTAAAACTGTATAGTAATGACCACCAGTCTATAGGAATGTTCATGGTGAAGAAAAAACAACTTTACTTTGCAAATAAAGATAAAAATAAAACTCTTAGATAAATAAAGATTGCTTAATTATGCGTATTGAACGAATCAGATACTATTACAGTTCATCATAGAGATAGTTTACTGATTCAATAACTAAAATTAATACAGGATATTGAATATTCAGTTCAGCGTCTATCTTAAAAAAAAACATTACAAAAAGATAATTTTGTTTCTCATTGAATAATATTTATATGACTTCATTCGGATCATAAATAAATGTGGAAGCCTCAAATTTAAATCCGAGAGTTATGTGTATTTCAAAAAATGAATGAAACAAATTAGTTATTCTAGAATGTGTGGATATAAAAATTTGTCTGGCAAACCCTTTTTAAAAGCCCTCAAATTTGCATTGACTACTATTCAACTAATAGGATTTGGGGGTGAATGCAGCTCAGATCTGAACTCTTCGCTTTGATTTACTATACGAAAGGCGTTCTTTCCCATAATTCTGGATCAATTAGAGCGTGGAAAAAAACAGAACTAATTCCCACTTATTTATTTTTGCAATAGGTCAGTTAGCCTTCTTATTCCTTTTTGTTTCATATAATTCTTTTAACGAAAGTCGGGATAGGCCGATGTTTGTATGGAAAACCATATGGAATAATGAATATTTTTTCAACAACTCAGAAGCGGTTCGGCCATTCTTTCTTATCTTCGAACTCGATTGAAATATTGTTAAGACTGAACTGTGTAAAATTTTTTATCGCGATTGGACTCTGCTTTCAAAAGCTATCGTGTAAATAGTTGAACACACAGACTGATTCTAGCATGTACTCACTTTATGAGTACACAATAACAAATGACGAATCAATCCAAAACAACTTAACATTGTTCTAAAGCTTAGTAACAACTAATTTTCAATCTTCACATCTAATCCTATAGTTATCAATACTCAACATCCAATATCAGCTGCAAATTTTACAAAACAAACTAATTCGTTTTATTATTAAGACCATATCCTTATATGACATATGATTTTTAATTTTAGTAGCGCAACTCAATGCTAAAAATGAATTTAATATGACCCAGAAAAACATCTTAACATTGAATATTAATAAATTTTTTATTAGAAATACCTTTTAATGTAAAAAATATATGAATTTTTGGTATGTCTGGGTTATCGTATATTTAAGCATAAATAAATTTGAAGGAATAATAAATAATATGTATTTTATAATTGACTTGAAGTATTAGACATCCATTCATTTGTTGTTTCTTACCGATGTGTAGAACCAAAATAAATGAAATCGAGAGTAAAAAGTTAATAATGCGATGTTAATCTGAGTTTTGTATATAAGTAGATATATCAAATCATGCAGAAATTGTCTGATTTAGAGACCGTCAACAAAAAACGATTTATTTTCCAGGTATACAGTTAGGTTTGGATTTAGGTTTGGATTTAGGTGTGGGATGTGATAAGAAAAAAATCACATTTATACTCCATACTCACACCCAGCTGTTTGACATCGTCAACTACTACTATTAATATATCATGAATCATTTCATCACCCACCCCTACTTCCTACCGTTATCCGCATGTCAGGTATATATTCAAGTCATACTAGTAAATACGATCATAGAAAGCTTCTCTTAATGGGGGATGTCTACTTCTTCTGATGTATTTTCTCTTTTGACAGTCTATCAAGCAAACGAAACATCACGTGTTGTTGTAGAGAGTGTTCTTAATTGCTAAAATTTTTGTTCTTCTTTTGTAAACAAGTCCATAACGACTACAGGTTTTTTTTGTTGACATATAAGGAGAAAAAAAGAAAAAAAAACACAAATGCTTCAGAGGAGCGTTCGCTGAAGTAAATGACGCAGGTAATAGTATAAGAAATCATAAATTTGCGCAAACGAATCGTTGAAAATATTTATTGGTAGTCTTTCTGTTCTTATCTAATTCTTCTCATAACTCTTTTGAATTAGCTGGATTAATATTTAATAAGAAACAGACATATTAATTTCGTAGAATCGATATTTAGTAAAATTGTTACATAGTGTTGTTTTAAAAGAAACTCATAATTCTTTGCCATGAGTCATAAAAAAATCTGTTAATTACTCGTTTGCTATAGATCACCCAAATTTTTCAATACTCAGTGAGGTCAGCATTCTTAATTTTTTATTAAGTCGCTAAACATCCAAGCATGTGAAGTACACCCCCTACCCGACATTTACAATTACAAGTTAATAGCGAATCTAATCGCCTACTCTGGTGTACATTCACATCGACAGCCCGAAAAACAACTTTTTTCAAAACTCACAAATAAATCTTTCTTCTAAAATATATATTTGATAGAGCATAATCTTATGATTTTGATCGAGTAAACTCGAATTATGATTTACTTGGAATAACTTCTATGCTAAGCTTTCAGTATACTGTATACATTTTAAGAAAATTATTAATCGATTCACAAAAATGGCTTGTGAAATTTTTCTAAAAACCTGTCTAATGTATTTTCCAACCCCAAAAAAGGTGAATGTGTGGACGCATTTGAATAAGATATTTGCTTCGACACGTAGACCCTACAAATACAGATATTTTTTTTAATATAAAGAAGGTAATTTCGTTCTTTCTTTAGATCTCAAGACGTAACTAAAATAATGGCCACTTATAGATCACATCAAACTTTCATTACGATAAAAATAATAATGTCACAACCCACATTCTTGTAAAAGATATTGTTGACAAATTACGCAATTATTTAAAAAAAACATGTCAACAGATGAATATGTTAACATAGTATGGTATGATGAAAATCTTTCTGATCAAATGAAACATACTATTGAAACTATTTATTATCGTCTATTTGAATGTACAAACATCGAAGCTTTACAGAAAACAATCAACGATGTCATTCATGATACCGAAAAGATTTTATTAATTTTATCAGGTGACATGAATCATGAATTGGTATTGAGTATTGTACATAGCGAACGGCACATAGTTTCAATATTTATTTTAGCCAATAATTCGAGTATTCCACTTGAAAAATATAACAAAATTTATGGAATATTTACTGACTACAGTATCTTAGAAAAAAAGATGTTAGCACAAGCAAGAATGTTAAATCATCAGGCTATAGCTCTTGAATTTGATGAAAAATTAAGCGAAAAAAGTATGGAAGAACTTATTGAAAATCCTGAAGCTGCTCTTTTCGATATACATTCTCGTCTTTCAACTGACCGTTTTGTGACATCAAGTGAAAAAGAAAAACTATTGAAATATTGTCGTCGACGTTATGCTTCAAATTCGACTCAATTGAAACACATTGATGAGTTTGAAAGAACATATGAATCCAAAGATGCACTTAATTGGTATTCAAGAGATTGTTTCTTGTTTTCATCTTTAAATAAATGCTTGCGGAAACAATCTAGTAATGTTTATAATTGTGACATGGTTTATTTTACTCTTGATCTTTCAATACAAATTCAACAGGAATGGAAAAAAACAACGAGAAAAGGAAAATGTTATATTGGATTCATTTCATGTTTATCGTGGCTTAAATTTACCAGATGCCGAAATTGCTCGAATTCAGAACTATCGGGGTAAATCAATCATTGCTAAAGGCTTTCTCTCAACAACGAAATCTCTTGCAGTTGCTCGAATGTTTGCTGCCAATGTTGTGCTCAATATTGAAATTGATCCTAAATTGGATAACATCATCTATGCTGATATGTCAAGTCATAGTAAATTTTCCCACGAAGAAGAAATTCTGATTGATTTTGGCACTAGTTTTCGAGTGATTGACATTTCCTCTGATGAATGTAATATATGGACAGTATATTTAGTAAGTGTGAATGAGATGGACAAAGTGTTAGACTCTTATATTGATCTAAAGAGATTACAAGGAGAGAATGATGTTATGATTGCAACTGGCTTAGTATTTTTTGGTTATAAGGAGAGAGCATGTCGATTGTTAAGAGATTCTCTTAATTCTACAAGTGATAATCGGGAAAAATTTGATGTGAATTGTGAACTCAGCGAAATTTACGCTCGATCTAGTGAGTTTTCACTTGCTGCCGATTGCTTGCAAGAAGCTCGTCGTCTTTGTAAATTATTTGATCCATACTTATCTCGTCTTCATTCTGTAAAATTCTGGCTTTCTATGATGTATGCATGCTTGAATGAACATGATCGAGCATTTGATTGTCTTTCTATTCAGCTTGAATTTCCATATCCGCAGCCTTATAGTCTTCCACGAACATGTAGTAATAGTTGGACTTATCTAGTTACAAATGAAGAATCTTTACGTTTCGATCCTTATCGACCAGTCTACGAATATCTACAACGATGTCTCACAACATATAAACAGGATAAAGATATTCTTTATAGAATACACTTTTATATTAGTTTGATACTATTAAAATGCAATAGAGAAGAAATTACACTGCAATCATTAGATGATTCATTACTGCATATGAAACAATCGGGGATTTTAGCATTTGAGAAATCTAATAATTTTCTCCTTCTGTACTACTATCATATGGGGATCATTTATGAATCGAAAGAACGTTATCATCAAGCTAAACGTTATTACTGCAAAATGCTTCCGATTCTGCGCTGTAATGGTGATCAAAATGAGAATCTTACTATGATACATGTGCGAATTGCAGCTTGTTATACCGCATTAAAACTGCATGAGTTAGCAATTCAACGATGTATACGAGCGCTACATCAAAGCCAAACGATTGATGATCCAATTCTTGTCGGTAAAGTTCGAGCTCATCTCGGTATCATTTATCTCGAAACAAACCAATATCATAAAGCTATAGAACAGTTTATTATTGTCAGTCATCTCATAGATATTATTGAGAGGCGATTTATTGATGAGATTTATCTTATTATAGCCGAGACATTATTTAAAGTAAATGATATTGTTAATGCAATCAAGTATTATTCAAAATTTTTAGATCGTTATGAAGAAATTGAACTATATGAATCTGAATTGTGGTTTAACACGTGTGAGCGTATAATTTATATATACTATTCAGAGAACCAATTTGAGAATTCAATAATATATGCAAAACGCATGCTTGAATTTCGAATGAAAATATGTGCGAACTACTTTGATGAAATCTTAGATACGCAATTGCTCGTTGCATTATGCTATCAACAAAATAAGGAATGGCAAGAAGCAATAAACTATTACAATATGGCTTATGATACTCTTAGCAAAAAGGTGAGCGATATCATTGTCGGCGAATGCAATCCATTAATTTCTGATCAAGCAGTATTAATACAAACTATGCTGGCGATCGCCTATCGAACGATAAATAACTATGATCAAGCTATTTATCATGCAAATATTGCATTAGAAACAGAAGAAAAACGATTATCCAGAGATAAGATTACAATTGCTTCATGTTATGATTTTATTGGATGGTGTCATTATATAAAGTGTGAATATGACAAAGCTTTAGAATTTTGCACTAAAGGTTTACATTTACTTTATACTTGTACATCAGAATCTGACATGCAATTTTGTCATCTATATCACAGTCTCGGAAATACTTGTCTTGCACTTGGCGATGTGAAACAATCGATTACTTACTGTATGAAAGCCTTATATATTTTAGTTGGTAAATTCAATATTGAAGACAAAAAATATGTTTTAACTTATTTTTTTCCATTAATTGAACGCATTCGAAAACTTGGATACGATCTTTTTTCATATAGTGAATCATTTGAAATCATGCTATCAGAGATTTTTCCGAATACGACAGATTTAGAAAATCTACTGAATAGAAAAGGTAATTTTTGAAGTTGAAATAATTAATGATATGCTTCTTCTTCATAAACAGATTCTCTGTGTCTTATTCTGGATGCTGTATCGTTCAAAAGTATTGATACTGTCGATGCAGACAATAGTTTTCATCTGATTCGATTACAAGAACACTCACCACCATCTCAACTACTATACCCAATGTTGACTATGACATATATACGATCTTCTGGTAAAGAGAACTATATTTTTTTCATTTCTACTATACAAAATTCTAATTAGAGATTTTTAAAAAGTTGTGAAATTCCAATTAAGGACTTCTCCTAATTAACAAGTAAATAGCCTTACAAATAGAGATAATTCATCGAGTTAGGATACAATTTGCTTATATGATGTCTAGCTTTTGAATATTTTGACAACTTTTTTAAAACTTACGAAAACCTTGTTTCTTCTCACATACGTATATATCATTTGTCAACTTATAGATAGCTTATTGAAATGAAACAGAGGAAATGTTGTGTATCAGAATATTATTTAAAAAGTTGAAAATAATGTTTTACATAAGAAATCGTTTGAATTACTCTTATTTTTATTTATTTACATTAGAAAATTGTTATTCTTTATACAAAAGACAAATTATTAAACTTTTCATTATAACTGTTCACTCATTATATCTTCCATTGTTTCCTTTTTCTCTACTAGATATCAAGACAGAGAAGAAATTGAATACGACAACAAGAATAGACTCAATCATAAATTGACAAAATTTAAGATCTTGTAATATAGATGACAAGTTAACATAAAAAAAGACTTCAACTACAAAATATCTGACGGAAATAAATATAATTTAAAACATATTCAAAGTAATGATTCCTTTATTTTAATATCTTCTATAAAGCGTTCAGGAAAGTTTTCTTTATATGTAATTACCAATACCATAAATAATGCTTTATACATAATTACTCAACTCCTACTTTGATAATGAAACTAACAAGATAGCTATTCAGATCTGGTTCAATTCTAATAGTTAATTGATGCTTCAATATTTTCTTGTCATGCGTAGACATCTTGATGTCGTTGTTGATCTTTGCTTTGCCCACACATCCAGATTGAATTTAATGTACGTCCAGAGTGTAGGCGTGCGTATGGATGTCTTTTCTTCCATACATCCACATCCAAACCATCGAAACGTGCAGGATTAGTTAAATAAAGATTTATACTTCATCTCATTGTCATTTTCTTCTAATATATTATACTTGAAGTTATGCTTATAGGGTGTGGGTGTCGATCTATTATCTTCAATTATACCCATGCCCACACCCACACCCTAAATAATTCTCATTTCTGGTGATATATAGATTTCAAATAGTGATGGTTCAATAGCACTATATATATAGTCTAAATGATAAAAAAAATCAGATTTTTCTTATGGGTAGATGTAGTCACATTAATAAATCAATGTTGGGGTACCAGTCAATTTGACCACTTCCCCATACACCATTACGTTATTTTCCACTAAATATTCAAAATAAAATTTTATTATTTTTTTAAACAAAACTTTTTGTTTTACATGCATTTAATTCATATATGAGAATCTTTATCTTCATCTTTTGGTATTGAAAATACATCAAATATTCGTTTAATAAATGATTTTTGTTCAAAAGCACATTTTATGCATGAATTAGATATTTTTTTGTAAGACAGTATGACATTTATCTGGACCAAATGTTATTGCCATTGATGCATGAAATATTTGTAGATTCAGGGTTTGGGTGTGAATAAAGGAGAACCCACACCCATACACACTCTAATATTCATGATCTAAACAGACGGAGAAAGTTTCTCGACTTCTTTTCTAGTCTATCTGTTGTCACCCTGCTATTTATATATATTTGCTGTTTTCCTCAATAAAGAGATCATATATTCACTCACCTAAAAGATGATATATATGTAACTACATGCACCTCAGAGACTTATCCTTGAAAGAAACTGCTCACTTTCATTTATAAACAGAGTCTTGCATTCATGCTTGATTAGGATGAGCATGTGAATGTAGATATCACTCATATCCTCCTATAAGAATAAGACTAGATTTAGTTTTATTTAATACCATTGATAATTTCTATATATTTCAATAGGAGTTCCGAATGTCAAAGAAAACTTCTTAGTCGTCAATGTTCGCATCATGAAAGATGGATTCAGTGAGTTGAGTGTCTTTTTAAACTTCATATGATGCATATTTGTGAAAATATATAAATTAAGTACAAACTTGTGCATCAACAAAAATTGAATATGGTATTTATTATAGAAATAAACGATGGTCTTGTTTATTATGATAGAAATGAAAAGGATTCTAGGTTAAAAATAAATCTTATAGTGTTGATTTAACTCCAAAATTGTTTTTCATTCTGGTATTCACAATCACGCAAATGAACCGTATGAGTACCTCCATCTTCGAAAGTGAAAACAACTTGCTCGTCGAGACTGATTTTGGCACCAAAGCTAAATGCAAAGAACGGATTGTCTCCATGATGCACGCCATCATGATTGTTTACAGTAGCTCTAGTGACTAAACGTCCATTGGTGTTCAGGAGTGCTACATTACGATAGTATGCATTATCATTTGAGGTGTCATGTCTGTGATAGCAACGAGGTCCATTGAAGTTGAACGCGTTGCCGAAGCGCAACTTTACATTACAATATTTGACTCCAGGAGACATGTAATTAGTAAGTTTATTCCAAGTCGAAGCATATAGATCCAGACCATTGCCCAGGTTTGAGTTTATAACGACGACGTCTAATGGTCCATTCCCACAGTCAATTTGGAGTACTTGACCACATAGTTCTGGTCGCCACTTCAAATGTTTCAAAGACTCAATATTTCCGAGTGCGATCGGATAGCCAATAGCATAACTGGCTTTGGGAAGTTCGCATGCACCCGCCTCGTAAGCACCATGATAAGTTGTATGAACTCCGTAAACCTGAACACCGTTTTGTAGCCATGTACCAGACGCATTATTGATAATCAGAAGTCCAAATAAAGTCAAAAATGAAATAATTTTAATCATTTTATATCACCTCAACTGGAGTTTTTCTTGTTTGTTTTGTAAAATTTCTAAAAATAAAGAATGGTCAATGATAAAAAATGGGTCTGTTGGTCAAAAATGATCATCAATGCCTATTCAATATTCTATACTAAGGCTAAGAATTTCCATTTTCAAAGTTCTCCATTGTATATGTTGAAATGCACAGTTAAAAGTAAGACAATGTATCTAATCATATCAACAGTTCAATGTCAAATGACTGAGACAATTTTCTACTTTTTGTACTGTAATATACTAGTAAATGGTTCAAACCATTTGAAGGAAACATCAAATTAGCGTTCTTTTAATCATTGATCAATGATGATCCAAAAATCTAAGACACTACTCATCACAAAACTTATAAGATTATTTCAAATTTCGGAAATGATCAGTCACTTTAAGTCAAGAAAACTACCGTTCGGTATTGCTAACGATTCGAAAATGACAATCTGAAACTTAATTCCTTCGCTCTGAAAAAGAACATATGTGAGAATGAGTATTTCATAATTATCATCTGATCAAAAAGTGTTACAGAGCATTACAATCATCTATGATTATCTAGATTTTTTGCGTGTTCTTCGGTATACTTTTTTTTTGTTGTTGTTACGTCATATGGATTTTCTTATTCTATTTTCATATCTATTTCAACGATATATTTTCCTTTTGCGTTGTATTGTCCGCAGAGCATATTATTTGAATTAATAGCTATGCTGGGGCGATGAAGTAAAATTTTGATTTGTCGTGTGGAAATAAAAAATTATCTTCTGAATTCTAGCACATCGCATGATCATTATCCTACTTGAATTTTTGGTTCATGCTATACTCGTTCTGCTTTCTGTCAACACATTACAAAATTTGCCCTTTTGAACGGAAAAATTCCGGATCTACTTGATAATATATTGTTGACAAATACATTTCAACATTTTTATCAACACGTTTCTATCATTTAGTATAATAAACTTTTGTCAACAAAAATCAAGCAAACTCATTGATCATTCATTAAATTGTATTTCAGCTGTCACGCACTGAGAAAAAAAATAGTACGATATCGAACCATTTTTTTATTGCATTGAGTATTAATAACAAAAACATAGTCTATTAGAAATATAGTTAAAAGATAAGCTTTTTGTTAACTACGTATTTCATTGTACAATATCACATTGATACAAAACACGCGTTTATTTAACTTTCATCAGAACAAATGTTGTTCAAGAAGAAGGATCGAAACTTATGATAAACTAAAAAGAATGAGGATGACTCTGACCATGATCTAATACACGCAATCGTAACTAAAAATATGGTCACGTCGTGTATTAGTATCGATTATCTTACTTTTTCGCTATTTTTCAGTGATAAAAATTACGATATTGGAAGAAAAATAGTAATTCACTTTTGACTTTACCTTTTTTGTATGAAGTTGAGAATATTTTGCTTGAAGAAGATGGTTGAATATATAGTAGTTGAATACAACAGTTTAGTAACTGATGGTTGTTGTGATCCACTATTTATATCGGAAAAGTTCTCTTGCTATCTTATATGCTCATGTCATAAATAATTTAGTCATAAATGAAAAGATTTTGCCCCCCATGATGTGCTATGATGACATAGAGAATAACAGAAAAATAGGTATTATGTATTGTAACTTATTAGAAAATAGTGGGATATCCCATTATCATGACTCATTCTTTGATTCTCTGACAGAACCCGATTATTTTCCCATCCTGCCCATGCTAATTTTTCTTTTTCTTTCTTTCACATTACGTCATATTGATAATAAAGAAACACTCTTCTATAGATTTCTATTTTGTTGCTTATTGCTTAGTGTGAAATATTTTTTGCATAAATACAAATACAAATTCCAATGACTTAATTAATTGAAGCATCATCATCATTGACGATCTCAAATCAGTGAATCTAAATAGAATAGAAGTAATAATATTTTTTTTCTTTTATATC